GTATATATTAACAATAAAAAATGTTTAATTTCTAATTCGACATACAGTTGAATTAGAAATTAAATATTATAATTCGCATTTGTAATCTCTGTCAGAATTGATTTTCCTATATTGTCCTACAATAATTTTCTTTCTTTTAGGTCCACCATCAATACCTATTTTGGGTCAATCATTAATGTTTCTCAAAGAGACTCCCGAATTTCTGTTCCAAAAAGGTCTTAAATATTTTGAGTTGTATGGGACTGTAGTCGGCGGATATGTTGGCACAAAAGCAGCAGTTTTTTTGTCAGATCCACAAGATATTGAAGTAATCCTAAGTAGTTCTGTACATATCGACAAAGCTGAAGATTATGAGTAAGAAATCAAATTAACACGATTATGAGTAAGAAATCAAATTAACTAATAAAATTATGAAAATTTATGCATATATATATTATATTATGTACCTACACTGAGAGAAAAAAATGCTGCTGATTCAATTAAAGGCTATATTACGGGCTGTCACTAACATAAATGATTAATTCATGTATATTTTTATTGACAAAAAGGCCTTGATTATTGAAATAATAATTTATGCTTTTATGTCAATAAAAAAAATATACATGAATTAATCACTTATGTTAGTGACAAACTCTAATATAGACTTTAATTGAATTTACAGCATTTTTTTCTCAATGTATCATATGTTTTATTCCTACATGTATGTTACAACTAACGATGCAAATTCTATTTTAAATGGACTGTCATTTGTTATAAGATACTGCTTATTATTACTAGAAGTAATTAAATAATCCTTTATTTATCTCCATCTGTAGATTGTTTAAACCATGGCTTGGAGATGGTTTGCTGATCACATCGGGCGACAAATGGCGCAGACATAGAAAGGTGATTGCGCCTACATTTCATATGAATATCTTAAAGTCATTTGTGCCTTTATTTTATGAAAACAGTGTAGATCTCGTAAATCGACTTCGCGATAAAGTTGGAAAAGAATTCGATTGCCACGATTATTTATCAGCCGTAACGGTTGATATTTTAACCGAAACAGCAATGGGAGTTAAGAGAGAAAGAAGACTAAAAACCGGATATGATTATGCCATGGCCGTGATGAAGTATATATTGTTGCTTTCTTAAAATTACACGTAATCTTTTATTAAATATTTATCATGTAGAAAATATACTCATCATAATTTGAATATTGTAGAATGAGCGATATTTTACATCGAAGACATTTTGATGTGTCAATACGGTTCGATATACTTTTCAAACTTTCGAAGCTTGCAAATCTCCAAAAGAAATTGCTGAAAACTATTCATACACTGACAGAACATGTAATCAAAGAAAAATCAAAAGATATCGAAGAAAAATATGAAAAATATCAACAATTAAAAGACGCACAAAACGATAAACCAATAGAAAATTCAAAGGTAACCGAAAATGAAAACACTAAAAATAACGCCGCTAATTATATGCCTTATGTAAGAGATGATCTTGATGACATCGATGAGAATGACGTAGGT